CATCATGTATAAATGGAATATAACTTCTCATTCTTCTGCCTGTATATGATGTAGAGTTACACTGGTAGTGTAATCATATATGCACATATCAATAAATTCTTTGATATGTAATCTTTTTCACCTTTCAGAGCTGTGGAGAGAAAATCCTTCCCTCCACTCTTCCCAGGGCCGTTTCTGCTGTTAAGTAAATGTGCACCCTCCATCTGAGCATTGGTGAATCAACTGGAGTTAGTAATAGCTCCTTCTTCCTGTCTGGAATTCTGGTTCTGCTCATAGGAGCTTCACAGACTCAAGTGATTTATTTAATACCTCTAAACTTCTTTAAGTGTCCTATCTGTAAAATGGGAATAATGATAGCTTTTAAATCAATCAGACACGACTAGGGTAATAGAGGCACAGAGGATAGCACACAGTAAATGCTCAACATGTCAGAGGGGAAACATGAAAAAGGCTTAACCCAATACAATGTGTACTCGACTTTAATTAATTTAAATGGGAAAAAATTCTAATTTTTATCAGATGAAAAAATAAAAAAAGATTATAATGAAAATAGCAGTACTCTGCCCTACTTATCCTCTAGTTCCTCTTTTTCCACCAGTCACCACTTTTGTTCATTTATTCTATTAGTCAGCTCCATATTTATAAGCCATACATTTGTACCACTTATAATAAGATTTATCAACTTTAAATGTCATCTACTCAAATGAAGTGTGAAAGAAGGAGCTGATGGAGTGATGGATAAATTTGTGGGATACAAAAACTTAATGGTTTAAGAAATGAGGTATTGGCTGGGCATGTTAGAACATGCCTCTAATCTCACCAGTTTAGGAGGCTGAAGCAGGAGGATTACAAGTTTAAAGCCAGTCTCAGTAATTTAGTGAGGCCCTAAGCAACTTAGCAAGACTATTTCTTAAACTGCAAAATAAAAAGGGCTGGGGATGTGGCTCGGTGGCTAAGTGTCCCTGAGTTCAATCCCCGGTGCCAAAAAATAAATGTTACTGACTCAAAAAACCAATTAGACTTTTCCCTCTTCCCTTGCCCCAGCTCACCAAACATAGCCCAAATCTCTGAATTTAGCACTCACCTCCCTTACCACTTCTGTCTCTTATTTGCCCAGTCCTTTCCTCTTCCTCTACCCAAAACCCCATCATCCTGCCAGCTTTTACATTCTCTGCCCCATCTGTCCTCTCCTCAACCTAGGACCCTCTCTGTTAGCCACAGGTCCTCTCACTCCAACATGTGGCTGTGCACTTGCCAGCTGGGTGATTGGCCAGTCTCCTTAGGGTAATACCATTGCACCTGCCCCTACTGCGTATGGCGTCATGTTTCACAACTCCCTTCAGGCACTTAGCATCATGCTTTGTACTCAGTAGGCTGGATCTGTTTAAATAATTTTCATGTTACAAAGAACCAACATGCACCCTGTACTGGTGCCACTGTGGTAGCCTGGAAAAGGTACTCAACTGCCTGGTAAATGGAGTGACTACTAGTGGCTTTACAGGGCTTTTTTAGCTTGTTTTCTGAGGCTTAGCATAAGCTAAGCATATACTAGACCACTGAGGGTTTATTGTGTTGTAACTTTTTTGTTACAGGGTATTTTATTTATTTTTATTTTTTGGTACTAGGGWTTGAACCCAGGGTCATTTAACCACTGAGCCACATCCCCAGCCCATTGTTTTGAGACAGGGTCTCACTAAGTCCTTAGGACCTCACTGAATTACAGAGGTTAGTCTCAAACTTGTAATACTCCTGCCTCAACCTCCTGTTGCTGGGATTCAACATGCCCAACTGTTACAGGATGTTTTTTTTTTTTTTTTATTGTTGTTGTTGTTGCTTTTTAGTTGTAGATGGACACAGTATCTTTACTTATTTTTATATGGTGCTGAGGATTGAACCCAGTGCCTCACACGTGCTAGGCAAGTGCTCTACCACTGAGCTACAACCTCAGCCCTGTTAAAGGATATTTTAAACATGTACAAAAATAGATAACTTTTACGTACCCATTACCCAGTTTCAGTAATTTTCAACAAATGGCCAATCTTGTAAATTTATATTTTTGAAAAGACAAATTACACAGCTCTCCAACCATAAGGCTTATCAACAGGCCTTGAAGATTCAGGACAAAGAAGAGTTATAATGGAACTAAACTGAACTACATTGGACTCTACTAGAAGCAAGTGGTATCAAAATATACCTACACTGGGCTGGGTTGTAAAGATAAGGCACCCAGGACAAGCATCACCTTGGGAGTTATAAAAATCAAAACTTTACTGGCTAGAGAGCCAACAATCAAAGAGTTCCTGACTTAAGGAGGAAAATCTATGAAAAAGGTACCATAAGTGTGCTGGGGATATAGCTTAGTGGTAGAGCTCATGCTTAGCTCATGAAGATTTGAATTAAATGCTTAGAAATCTTTAACAATTCATGTTTAAATGCTTGAAAAATTCTAAGTTGGGCTGGGGATGTGGCTCAAGCGGTAGCGCGCTGGCCTGGCATGCATGCGGCCCGGGTTCGATCCTCAGCACCACATACCAACAAAGATGTTGTGTCCGCCGAGAACTAAAAAAATAAATAAATAAATATTAAAAAATTCTCTCTCTCTCCCTCTCTCTCCTCTCTCCCTAAAAAAAAAAAAAAAGAAAGAAAAATTCTAAGTTGTCTAACCTGTAAGTTTTCATTGATTAGTTGCTGAAGCAGCTTGTACACATTTAGCAAAATGTTAACTGTTTAGTGAAGTGTTCATCTGATATACTTATCAGATTAACAGAGCACTACATAATGCACAAAAGATTACAGGTTTTTTTCTTCCACACTAAATCTTTGGAACATCAAGAATTAGAAGGCTTCCAAAATGTGAAGAAGGGATGTCCTATTCCCAACTCCTGGCTTTTGGGCACAATCCTGAGGATGGTATGCTATGACTAGAGTTGCATTAGCTATCTTGCTACTGGATGGCAGTGGGGGATGGCAACTGAGGCAAAGGGGGCAAGAGCCCCTGGAGCTATTGCCTGGCTCTGAGACACCCCTTCCTCTGGGGATTTGAATTACTTGAAACTTTATTGCCTTCCCTCCATCTCTGTTCCTGGGTTCCCAAACTTGCCTGTTCTTTGGACTCTCCTACTGATATTATCTGGTTCTACCTGCTATCCTGATTTAATCAGTCATGGGGACAACTTGGCATGAGACTACTGAAAACTTTTCCGATGATTCTAATAAATAAACAGGGCTGAGAATTACTAATCTAACTATGCAAGTCATCCTCTGCTTTTCCCTTTGCAATTTTATTTTCCTACCTCATACTGTGGTTATCTGTGTATATTTCTTCCCTCTCCTACTAGATCCTGGACTCCAGATCACCTTTGAAACAATGCATAGGGCCTTCATGTGCTGACTTCTAGTGGCTGTTGCTGATGGAATTGGCAGTCACACTTTACTAGGAATTTAGGTTCTACAGTCAATGCTTATGGCACCACATGAGTCAAAATCGCCCTTGACAGCCTCGCAGAAAGGCTCTGCACAGGAGTCTGATGTTTGTTCTGTCTCCCCTATCATCATCCACATAGTTTTCTCCTGGCCTGGAACAGAAAGCTGCCTCCTCCACCAAACACCAGAGGAAATAGGTGGCTTGTGCTTAGGGGCCACCTTGAATTAAAAAAAAAAAAATACACATTTAAACATGTGTCTCACCCTTAGCATCACAGAATGTTCATACCATTAACAGTCCACAGGAACCAGAATGACTGACCCTGTAGGAGACATACATCTTCCAATCTCACACCCACTCCTGAGCATATGGTCCTCACATTCACCAGTGGGTGGATCACCCACACCATTTAAACTTTTTAAATCAAGGATATAGAGCTGAATTCATGTGATTTGCTATATGAACAATGTCTCCTCAATGCACAATTACATCCAGCTCACACAAAGCCCTCCTTTTCCTATACCTGCCCCCAAAATAACTGGCCATCCTCTCTTTCACTGAGTTCTTCCATCCAGCTCAAATGCTACTGCTCCTTAAGATTCTATCCTTGGAACTTCTCATTAACTCTACTCCCAGGATTCTCACCCTTTACTTAGGGATCCTGAATTTTTTTTTAAAAGAGAGAGAGAGAGAGAGAGAGAGAGAGAGAGAGAGAGAGAGAGAGAGAGAGAATTTTAAAATTTAATTTTTAGTTTTCGGAGGACACAACATCTTTGTTTGTATGTGGTGCTGAGGATCGGACCCGGGCCGCACACATGCCAAGAGAGAGCGCTACCACTTGAGCCACATCCCCAGCCCAGGGATCCTGAATTTGACATGGCAAGATTTTTCTCTCTTGTTAAGGGAGGTGTGGCCTAAGAGGTTTCTTCACTTTCACTAAGGGGGGATTAAGGGATTAGAGAAAGAGCTCTTCTAGGCGTTGAGCACTGGGCTTGCAAAGAAACATGGTAAGTGCACAATAAGTTTTGGGGGATTTTTTTGTCTGTTTGTTTGTTTTGGGGGGGTTACCAGGGATTGAACTCAGGGGCACTCAACCACTGAGCCACGTCCCCAGCCCTATTTTGTATTTTATTTAAAACAGGGTCTCACCAAGTTGCTTAGTGCCTTACCACTGCTAAGACTGGCTTTGAACTTGCAATCTTCCTACCTTACCCTCCTGAGCCGCTGGGATTACAGGCATGTGCCTGACCACAGTAAGTTTTTTATGAAGAAATGGGTAAGAATTGGAATTCTGCCAGCTTGCAAGGGACTCTCACCACCTCTCAGTTTTCTTTTTCTCAGAACCAGGGATGGAACCCAGGGCCTCAGCCAGGCAAGCATCCTACCACTAAGCCACATTCCCAGCCCAACATTTTGTGGTGCTGGGGATCAAACCCTGGGCCTTGCACATGCTAGGAAATATTCTACCACTGCTACATCCTCAACCCCCACAGATATCTGCTGAGGCTTAAATTTCACCAGCTCATCTGAGATCCCAGGCCAGGCCTTCTGTCACACCAAGCCACACCAAGCTCAGCAGTGCTCACAGGCCTTTAATTTACAACTTCCTGGCCACACTCCATCACTGCCTCAGGATGGTGAGGAGAGATGAAGATGTACTGCCAGGTAGGCCACACCAGCTCTGAGTCCAAGTAGGCAGAGCTGAGGTCAGGCTGGCAGGGTTGTGGGGGCTCCTAGCCCCAGGCGATGAGGGAGTTGCTGGCCTGGGCAAGCTCAGTGATGGACACCCGGCCCCGCTGTCGGATGAAGTTGGCCACAGCAGCCAGTTCCTCTGGGGTTATGTAGATGAACTTGCCCCGGTCGTCAATCACACCTGTAAGGATATGCAGGTTGTGGAGCTGAGTCCTCCTGGGACCTCCCAATCTGATCTAAGAATATCCACCCATTCCTTCACAACTAGCTAAGAGCCCTCCAGGTCCCCTGCTTGCCTGACCTTTTCTGATTATGTCCAATCCTGGCTAGATGAGTCAAATCAGGGTTTGCTGCCTGTCCTCATAACTCCATAGCCAGCTCTAAGCCTCGACATGTCCTTGTAACTGCATCCAACCATTCAGTGCCCTTCTTTGAACACCCACCACTGCTCAGAATGCTCATCTTGTTTCTACAACAAATCCCTACAGCCCACTGTGGATAGATACTCCCCAGGCCAGGGTCTGTAGTGACTGAATCTCAATCCTCTCACCTGTTAGAGTCCCATCAGCCAGCAGGTCCTGGATGCGGTTGATAGTGTCCTATGAAGAGAACAAAGACAGATGCTACTGTCCCAAGGAAAAAAACACATTTTCCCTCCTGCTACAGCCAAACCTCCTTCCCTCACTCTCATAGCTGTCCCATATAAATCTGCTTCTCTTTGGAGGGACCATGAGGAGAAGAGGCTCTAGTCCTGGGTCCTGCAAGACCACCATCAGAGGCTCTCTTCCAGTGGGAGGGGAGCAGTGGAGATGTTAGGCCACAAAACAGCCTGTCTGCAAGAGAGTTGTCAAGGTAACTGGATTTGGGCTGGTGGAGGGATGGGATTTGAATTTTTTTTTTTTCTTTTCTGCTTGTTCTTTCATCTAGTAGAAATGCAGGATTCCTGTGGTGCCAAGACTTCTACATTCTAGGTTGGGGGCAGGTTGGAGGGGGCCTCAGGACTCTCCCATTCTTATGACAGCAGGTGCCCTGCTGCACACAGACCCCATGGCCTCCACACAGCAGGTGACCTTCCAGAGCTTACCTGAGTCCGTAGGCCCACCTGGGAAGCCAAATCTTCCAAGAGTACAACCTTGGATTGCTACAGGGGAGGGAGAAAATGGGAGAGAGAATGAGTTTGGGCAAATCCCTTCTAACATGGAGATATCCTCTTAGGTCTGCATTCTGATTTAAGGTTTTCAAAAAGGATTTTTGTTGATGGTGCCTTCCCCACACTGCTGGGAATATTCTACCACTGAAGCACATTCCCAGCCCCTAAAAAGCTCTTTTTTAATAGTACTAGGAAGTGAACCCAGGACCACACACATGCTAGGCAAGTATTCCACCACTGAGTTACATCCCAGCCCTTTTTAAATTTAATTTTTGAAGCAGGGTTTGGCTATAGTGCCCAGGCTGGCCTCAAACTGGAGACCCTCCTGTCTTAGCCTTCCAAGCAACTGGGATTACAGGTGTGCACCACTGTGCCAGCCACTATTTTTAAGAACTGTTACCAATACTTTCGTTTGCTCAGGACCTAACGAGGCACTGAAAGGATGCAGGGAAATAATGGTAAACAAAACACAGCTCCTACCCTCGACTCACAGCCCAGCTGGTGAGAAAGGAAGTACATGAATAAGGAAAGAGGAGACAAAGACCCCCAATGATCCAGGACCTCTCAGTAGACCCAGTGGGGGTTCATTCCTGCCTCATCTTTGCTCTTACCCCCTCACCCTGGATCCCCCCACAACTCTGGCATGCTGAACTTATCCTCATCCATCTTCTTCACACCATTTGAGGCATGGAGCCCACCCTCAAAATAACTGTCACTAACACTGACAAGTGCTTTCCATGTGCAGCTCCATGGCATGTTCCTTGTGCTGCCCACACACCCTCAGTAAACCTTAGTTTCCAGGGTGCAGCCAAGAATCCACAGCTGGGTATACACATGCATCTGCCCCTGCCTCCCCCAGAGAGAGCATGTGACTGAAGAGAAGGTGGTCCCCTGCATTTCTGTGAATCTTCCAAAGCAAATGAGCTGGGGGAGGAGTGACACTGTGAACCTCCCTGATTGCAGATGGCATGTGACTTATTTGAAATGCCAAACTGTATGTGCAAGCAGGAAGGCCAGGGAGTGGGCAAGCAAAAGGTGACCTGGTCAGCTGGCCTCTGTCTAAAAAACAGGGAACAGGCACTGGATTCTTGGTGATAGCTCAGAACTTGACCACAAATCATACCATGTGGTCCTCAAAGACCTGGCTTGAAGTTCTGCTGGAGCTAAAAGTATGTTTAAAAAAAATAAACAAACCCAGTCATGATCAGAAAGTGGAATGGAACAACAAGAGCAAACTATTCCTAAATCTCTATAAACTATGCTATGTGCAGAAACCTTCCTCTGGTTTTAAAATCCTAAGTCTAATGAGCCCAACCCCTTGAAGTGAGGAGGAAGGTGAGTGGACTGAATTTCGGAAGTCCCCCTTCTTGCTGCAAGACAGCAACTTCAGGAGAATCACCCAATGTAGGCTTAAGAACTCATAAGCTCCAGAAGAGTTTAGAGAATCCCCAAGAATGGAACCTCCAGGGAAGCACTGAAAGCAATGACCAGAATTGCCTTGGGGACTTTCTTCTAGTCTATACAGTGGTGAGGGGGATACTAAAGCTGATCCCCTCATCTAAACTCACCTGGAAAGGGTCCAAGAGGAGGCATTTTAGGACTGTTGCTGCCCACTGGGTGGATGGAGACAAGTTCTTAATAGTAGCAAGACAGTGGGAGAGATGTGTCCAGGGCAATAATCCTGGATCAAGTGGTGATAGGCTTGAGAAAGGGCTCCATCAAAGGAAAATGCTTCAAGCTCTCAGCATTTCTCCCTACTAGAGACCCCAGACCATAGGCCATGAGCCCAGACTCTCACTGCTGGGAGGTGTCTAAACCCTGCTCTCTTTTGGGAGCGATGGAGGAGGATTATGCAAGACCTAGCTCCTTGGCAGGCCCTGGTACCACCCCCACTGTCGCCCCCGCTCCCTCTGCACTCCTTCCCTCAGCCGCCTCTGCACCTCTGAGCTGCACTTGAAAACCTCTCCCCTCACCACATCCTTTGTGGGAGAGAAGTTGCTTAGCAGCAAAGCAGATCAGGATGTGCTTATGCAACCTGAAGCAGCATCAGGATGGACTGCATGGTGGCTGCAGATGGAATCGACACAATGCCACCCTACTCCAGGTTACAAGGGAAATGTCATCCTGTTTCCCTTGGAAGACCCAAGTTCCCAGTCAGGAGCACATGGCAGAGGACGCTTGTTTTAACTCAGTGTGACAGAACTGGCAGAAAACACACGTGAAGAGACTTGAAAACACAGTGACTCACTAAGCGTGGGGTCTGAAGTGCAGGGGAACTGTCAAACTCCAGCGTGAGGAAGCTATAAGAGGTTTGCACCTCCCACACAGACACAGGTCCTTCTCCCTCTTCTGGGTCCAAGGAGAAGGGACTCCCCCAGCCAGGACTCAATAGTTCAGACCCACTGGGCCCCATGCCCACTCCTGCATAAGCTTGAATAAGTCATCCTCAAACCCTGCTCAGGTCTGAAAAGGTGTGCATGCACATGCATGAGACAGGGTGTCACCTGTACTGTTCTGTGGCTTCTTACCTTAATGTAGTTGATAAATTCTGTCAGGAAGCTGTGGGACTAGAGGAATAGAAAAATCAGGGTGGAGTCACAGAAGTCCATGCCTGACCCCCACTGTGTGTGTACTCTCTGCTTACCTGCCTACAGCCTATCTGTGTGCCTGCCCGATTACTGCCCTGCATGAACAGCAGATCCTCCCAGGTGAACAGTCTGGGGGCATCACTCTCCACAGAGGACAAGGCCTCTTGCTGCAAAGGCCTATTAACACTCACACCCACCAACCTCTCATATCCCAATTGGAGGTGTTTGCCAATGAAGTGGTCAACCCTGAGCCTCACATAGGCTGCCCTTGTGAAACAGGCTTCTCAGGGGTGGTGGGCTTACCTGCTCCTCAGTCATGGTCTCACCCACACCCTCCTCCTCCACCACAAAGGCTTCCTTCAGTTTCAGGTACTCCTCATGCTCCCGCCGGGCCTGTTCTTCCTGGGCCTTTCTCTCTTCCTCCTCCTGAGGACACAGAGGAGAAAGAGTCAAGTATTTGGGATAGGTGCCCACCTATCCTGTTCTGGTCCCTGATGCCCCAGTAGGGCACCAGGGCATACAGCTCAGCAGTTTCCCAGGGACAGAGCTCCTTTAAGATCCCCACCTGGACCCCTCTTGTCTTAGTCCATTACCATTCAGACAAATGGTACCCTCCTTACTCAGGAGATCTACTTAGTAAAAATCTCTTGAAAACCCTCCCACAATCTAATCTTCCCTACAGTCATGTCCAAACTTCATGAACAAATATCAGGCTCCATTTCCGAACCACCCATGCACCAGCCAGCCCACTCCAATCTGTTTTTATTTTTTTAATTTATTTTTTTAATATTTATTTTTTAGTTTTCGGCAGACACAACATCTTCTTTTTTTTTTTTTTTTGTATGTGGTGCTGAGGATCGAACCCGGGCCGCACGCATGCCAGGCGAGCGCGCTACCGCTTGAGCCACATCCCCAGCCCCTCCAATCTGGTTTTTATGTACCAAGCTCCACTGAAACACCTCCTGCTGTTGTCTCACCTCTGACTTCCATCTCACAAATCCCTCAATGGCAATGGGAATAGCCAACTATCCCCTCTTTCTTCACTCAATTTCCACACCCCCACCCTTGCCTGGATTTTCTCCTGCTCCCTAGACATTCATTCTTGCCTCCTTCATCATTCAGCCCAGCCCCTGCTCTACCCTTTATTCTGCCTGGGCTTCCTCACCCAGGCCCAGCATTGACAACCATTTCCTCACCAGTGACTGTCACATTTGTACTCCCAATCAAATCTCTCCTCCCAAATATATAACTGCTCAATGACATACCACCTGGGCCATCTCACAGGTACCAAACCCACCCTGTGATCTACTTGCCACATCTGGTCTTCCTGCTAGGTCTCTCGCTGGTGAATCACACAACTACCTGGCCAGCTGCCCTGGTCAGAAATGAGGTGCCATCTACCACTTCTTTCTCTAACTTCCACAGAATTCTTCAATACATCCATGTTACTGTCACCACCTAGTGCAATAGCCTCTTCCCAATACAACCCAAACTCAGAAAACAGAGCCCACAGAAAAGTGTTTTTAAAATATGAAGCTAAAACCAAGTATAGGGTTCATGCCTGTAATCCCAGATATTTGGGGGAGGGGCAAGGTAGAAGGATAACAAGGTTGAGAACAAACTGGACTTTGTAAGAGCCTATCTCAAAATAAAAAATGAAAAGGAATGGGGATATAGCTCAGTGGAAGAATGATTACCTAACATTTTCATGGCCATGTATTCAATCCCCAGCACCACAAAAAAAGTTAAAAAAAAAAAAAAAAAAACATGAAGCTAAAGCCAGGGCAAATAATAATATATAAGATGATGAGCCTAGAGCACCTTGCAGCAACAGAAAGAAAGTGCTAAAAAACAAACAAAAGGACTGGGGATGTAGCTCAATGGTAGAGTACTTACCTAGCATGTGCAAGGCCTTGGGTTTAATCCCCAGCACAGCAAAAAAATAAATAAATAAAAGTACTTCTACATAATTCCTGAGGGGTACTCCTTTCAGGCAGGTAAAGCGTAACTCCCTACCCTTGGAGGCTGAACACAATTCTTTTTTGATTTGTTTTGTTTCTGTGACACTGGGGATTGAACCCAGGGGTGCTCAACCACTGAGTTACACCTCCATTCCTTTTTATTTTGAGACAGGGTGTTGGTAAGTTGCCCCATTTCCTCTGACCCTTCCCCCCTCCTCTGTGCTTACTATATTCCAGCCACTCTGACTACCTCAATGTTTCTCAAATGTTCCAGGCATACTCTATAAATTATATAAATAAGAATCCTCGTCTCGGGCCAGGCACAGTGGCATTCGCCTGTTATCCCAGCAACTTGGGAAGTTTTTGCAGGAAAATTGCAAGTTTGAGGCCAGTCTCAGAAATTTAGCAAGACCTTTAGCAGCTTAGTGAGATTCTGTCTTGAAATAAAAAAGAACTGTGGATGAAGCTCAGTGGTAGAATGCCCCTGGGTTCCACCTCCAATACAAAAAACCAAAAAACAAAGAAACAAAAACTGGGCATAGTAAGGCATGCCTGTAATCCCAGTTGGCTTGGGAGGCTGAGGTAGGAGGATTGCAAATTCAAAACTAGCCTCAGCAATTTAGCAAGGCCCTAAGCAACTCAATGAGACACTCTTTCTAAATAAAATATTTTTAAAAGGGCTGGAGATGTAACTCAGTGGTTAAGTTCTCCAGGTTTCAATTCCCACTACCAAAAAAAAAAAAAAAAAAAAAACACCAAACAAACAAAATCCCAAGTCAAGCTCTGCTTTTTAGCAACATCTTCCCACATTTAGAGGCCAGGAACAAAATAAATCAGGGTATGCCCATGTGCCTGGTCCACAGCCCTTCTTCTAGGATAGAGGTGCTAGGGAGTTGCATAGGAAACACAGCTGGCTGGTCAGGGGTCAAAGGACAGGATCAGTCTCAGTCTCACCTTCTGTTCCTCCTCCAAGCGAAGCCGCTCCTCCTCCTTCTTCCACTCAGCCTCACGTTGGGACTCTAGGCGTTTCCGCTCTTCACGTTCAGCCTCCTCTGCCTAAAGACAAAACCTTCATGGGGCACCCCATACAGTTTGCCCCACTTCCAGACAGGTCGGGGAAGGTAGTACTTGGGCCAGGGCAAAGACCAAAAGGCACAGTTCTTTTTTATTTCTGCAGGAGACAGAGCAGTATTCAGCAGTCCAATGTAAAAGAAGCCCAAGGGTAGAGTCTGCCATGGGGAAAAGTGGCCCTTTTCCATTTCCCAGAGCTACACCCCATCCCTCCTGCTTGCCTCACGCTGGGCTTTTCGAGCTTGTTTCTCCTCTAACTTCCGTAGTTTCTTGGCTCCAATTTTCCCTGTCAGATGAGTTTCCACTGGCTTCTCAATGTCTTCTTCCTCCTGGGCTGGGTATGGTTAGAGGAAGATAGTTCAGGTCCTAGCTAGAGGGAATTCATCCTACCCCTTGTCACTCTCCTCATGAATAAACCCCTTCCACCCACCTATGAATGTTACTAGTCCAGCTCTGCCATACTGAGGCATCTACCATAAAATCATGTGTGCACACACACGTTATGCTGCAGGTGGGAGCATCTGTAAGGATGAGACTTTAGATAATGTACACATGTAAAAGGGAGATGCCAATATCTGGGTGTCTGAGGATCACAGGTGGTGATGAGATTGCAGAGGACCTTGGTTTCTATCCTGGTGCCACCTCCAGGAAAGGACAGCCCTGTGGGGAAATTTATCCCAGTCTCAAATCTAAAATCCTCTCATTCTAGTCAAGAATTATTAAGCATTCAGGGCTTAGACCCTGGCCAGGATTATCCCTTTGTCCTAATAGAACCAAGGTAAACATTCAGTCCCACCCCACTGACTACCCAAGAGCCAGTTTAAAGTTAAAGAGATGCTTTTTTATGAGCAGTATGGGTATCTGAGACAAGAGGGATGACACAACAGAGGACCTTTTTTGAGTCCAAAGGGCTAACCTCAAGGATTCAAGGCAAAAGTCCCAAATGCCCCAGTTTCAAGGAAAGGCCCTGATATCCCTTCTTCAGGCTCAAATCAGCACTTAAGTACTAGAGAAGATGCATTCTTTCCTACAATCCTAAAGGCTCTGATCTCCTGGCACCAGGGATATGGACACCTCTATGTCAAGAGAATGCTTCTATTCCCAAACCCTTCTTCTGGGGTTACAGGTAACTGCACTCCAGGAAGGGCACTGGGATATAATAGATGGATTATGGAACTTTCAGGGTCAGTCTAAAGGCCCCTGACCTCCTGTGTATAGATACTGAGAGCCAAGATGAAGGAAGAGGAGGTTAATCAAATAGAATAGTCAGGGACCAGTTAGAGACCAGAACCAAAGTCTGGGTCCTAAGTGTCCATTCCTCTACCCCATGTCTCTCTTACACTGTGGCTTCACACTCCACTCTCCCACTTACCCCATCATCAATCCAGCCTTCTTCACTATCAAGCTGGGCCCCTCTCACCTGGGATAACATCTTCCTCCTCATTCTCATCCACTTCTGTCCAGGCTATCCTTTGGGCTCGACGCTGGGCCTGCAGGCGGCTGCCCAGGTCCCTCCTGCGCCGGGGCCTGCCTCCAGCCCTCTGTTCCTCAGGCTGCAGAGGCCGAGACTGGGCCACCTGGTCTGCTATTATTGGATCCTCTTCATTGTGCAGTGACTCTGGACCAGCTTCAGGAAGAGAGGAACCAGGACAGTTGGAGCAGCTCAGCCCCCTTGATAGCCCAGGGAGCAGTATCCTAGACGCCTCACCCTCCTCTGTTCAACCTCCTCCCAGACTCTCACTGCCTATTGCACAAAGCCCCAACTTCACAGTCTGATTACCAAGGCCTTTACAACTGGGCCCACGCCTTGGTCCAATACGGTAAGCTCAAGCCTTCCCTCATGCCTGATGTTGATACTTCTCTCCCCTCAGGGCTCCACCTCTCCTGCAAGCCTGTTGGGAGAATCCCACCCTGATTTCATCAAATGCCCATTTCAGGACTTCAATTATTTTTTAACACCACCTATCATGATTTTATTTTTTTAATATTTATTTTTTAGTTGTAGTTGGACACAATACCTTTATTTCACTCATTTATTTTTTTTTATGTGGTGCTGAGGATAGAACCCAGGGTCTCACGTGTGCAAGAGGAACGCTCTCCTGCTGAGCCACAACCCCAGCCCCTTGTGATTTTATTTTTAAAATAGTTATTTAAAATAATTATAAACTGCAGGTCTGAAGGAAAAAAAATACAACACAATTTATTTAAATAAAAGATTTGGTAAAAAAAAAATAATAAATAAATAAATAAAAGATTTGGTCTTCCACCTCCCCTTAATAATGTCACAGATACAGTACAAACTCTGCTGGTTAATTCCWCCCCATTCCCTCCCCTGAGATAACTTCCATTCCAAAGTTGGTGTGTGTCATTTCTCACCATCTCTGACACCCCAGACTCAGCCTCTACATTTTTCAGGTAGAGGCTGAGTCTCCCCTCCCTGGAAAATCTGTTGGATATGTGCCATACCTCAGATTCTCTCTCCCCTGAACTTGGAGCACCCAAGTGCTCTCAAGTAGCTGGTGGGTTCGGGGAGGAGGGAAGAGACACATATACAAATTCCTATGTTGACAAGAGATGCGGGGAAGGGAACTGACAACTTATCTGTTCTGTGTCCTGGCCAACCATATGGCCTGGTCAGTGTGCAGAGCATGGCAGACGGAAGGCCAAGGCAGCACGGCTGCTCTCCTTGGCGGGGAAGGAGAGGGCTTCAGAGAGTTTTCTAGAGCCACCTCCAGCTCCCTTCAGCTCCGGGTAGGCAGAAAACACCCAGAAGTCCCCTCCCTAGCACCCAAAAGGGAGCCAGTTTGAGAGATGGGAAACACTGTGGCCTCCCTATGGGCGCAATGGGAACTGGTCCAAAGCCCCCTGGGTGTGGAGGACTAGAGTGCCAAGGGGCGAGGCTCTCAGGTTTGGGAGAAAAGTGTAGGGGCGAGGCCACGCAGTTCCCTATCAAGGAGGCTCGGTGGTTCCCGTCTACTCGCTTGCCCGCGCCCGGGTTCCTCACAAGCAGGCCGGCGCATGCGCAACAGCCGTAGGCAACGGCCTACCGAGGCTGAGAAGGCCCGAGAACCGTGCCCCACCGATCCTGGAGCGGCGGCACCTCCTACCTGCTACCGCTCTGCCACGACTGCGAGTGAGGAAGAGTATAAGGCCGACAAGCAGAGCCGCTGCCACCAGATACACCACGGGCGCCACCATGACGACGACCTCCCAGCAGAACCAGCGCGGCCACGATGAGGCCCTATCACCCAGGCCCCGCCCACTGCCCATAAGGCTCTCCCGTTTCCCACGTTAGGCTCCGCCCTCCCCGGGTCGGCGCAAGGGCTGGACACTTCGCACAGGCTTTAATTTCTATAGTTTAAAATGGGTTATACAGCCCGGCGTGGTGGCTCACACGTGGAAGGGTGAGACAAGAGGATTGCGAATTCAAAGCCAGCGCCAGCAATTTAGCAAGGTCGCTAAGCAATTTAGCGAGATCTGTCTCTAAAATTTTTAAAAAGGGTTAGCGATGGGCTCGGTGGTTGAGAGGCCCCCCCCCCCCTTCAATCCTTGGTACAGGGCTGCGATGTAGCTCAGCAGCAAAGCGTTTGCCTCACATTCGCAAAACCCTGGGTTCCATCCCCAGTTCCAAAAAAACAAATAACAAAAAAAGGCAATTCCTGGTACAAAACAAATTTWAAAAAAAACAAGTTATAGGAGAGCCAGCGGCGGGAGGGGGTGATGCATTCCTATAATTCCAGCAACTTCGAAGGCTGAGACAAGAGGACAGCAAGTTGGAGGCCAACCTCAGCAATTTAGCAAGACCTTGTAAAAAGGGCCAGGGATCTAGTTCAGTGGTGGTGTGCCCTTGGGGTCAATCCCCAGAATCACTAAATAAATAAGTAAAATAAAATAAATTAAAACACTCATGATGTTAATTATTGGGAAGTTATCACAAAAGTAGGAAACATTTAGGCAAGATTTTTTTAAATCACCAAGGTTGAGAATGTGGCTCAGTGATAAAATGCTTCCTGGAGTGTGTGAGCATCCAGGTTCAATCGCCAGCATCAGAATAAGTAAGTTAATTAATAAAATATACCACACTATTTATATAAACAAACAAATGTGGAAAAAATGCAAAAATATACTTAGGATGTCACACATCAACTGGAATGGAAGTTACCTCTGGGAAGGGAATGGGGTGGGATTAATCAGCAGAGTTTTGGCTGTACTTGTGACATTTGATTTCTTTAAAAGGGGAAGAAGGGAAGAGAACAAATTTTTCATTTAAATAGTGAAGTATTTTCTTTCTCAGACCTGCAACTTTATAACTATCCAAAATAAAATTAGTTTTATTAGGTTATACAATAATTACTAATCCAGTGTTACCTAGTGAGAATTTGGTATTCCCACAGGGAATTAAAATTTCCTGTTAAGTCTTCAGGACCTAAAAAAAAAACCAAAAAACTGGGGACAAATTATACCTCAGTAATTAAAAAAACAAACAAACAAACAGGACAGGCTGGGCATGGTGGTGCATGGCTGCAATCCCAGCAACTGAGGCAAGAAGATTTCAAGTTCAAGACTAGCCTCAGCAATTTAGCAAGACCCTATCTCAAACAATAAAAAATATTGGGAATGTGGCTCATTGGTTAAGCACCCCTGGGTTCAACCCCCAATACCAAAACACACAAAAAACAAAACATAAGACAGGTTGTGAACTGAAATTTTTTAAAAAAGCAAAGAACTAGCTGAATGGGGTATCACATCTATAATCCCAGTTACTCTGGATGGTGGAGCAGGATTGCAAAATTGAGACCAACTCTGGTGAAATTTAGTGAGATCCTAGCTCAAAATTAAAAAAAAAATTAGGGATGTAGCCCAATAGTAAAGAGCCCCTGGCCTCAATCCTGGTACTGGGAATTTAAAAAAAAAAAAAAAAAGCAACTACACTGGGAATTTGCTATTATAGCAGGATATGTGCATATAATGACATAAGATAGGAGCAGGGCTAAGCAGGGAATTTGAAAAAAAATATGGCAATCAGGCTGGGGTTGTAGTTCAACGATAAGAGCATATGTCTCTGGATTTAATTCCCTTTAACTGGGGCAGAGTAGAGGATAAAAGTTGGCAACATGTGCTGGGTGTGGTGGGGCACACCTGTAATCCCAGCAGCTCAGGAGGCTGAGGCAGGAGGATCATGAGTTCAAAGCCAGCTTCAGGAAAAGTGAGGCACTAAGCAACTCAGTGAGACCCTGTCTTTAAATAAAATACAAAATAGGGCTGGGGGTGTGGCTCAGTGGTCAAGTGCTCCTGAGTGTTCAATCCCCAGTCTCTCTCTCTCTCTCTCTCTCTCTCTCTCTCTCTCTCTCTCTCTCTCACACACACACACACACACACACACACACACACACACAGTGGTAAACAAAAACATATGTGACTTACCATGATGATTTTGGGAGAACAGTTATTAGCTTTTCATCACTATGACCAAAATACCTGACAAGAACAATTTTGAGGAAGAAAAGTTTATGTTGGCTCCCAGTTTCAGAGGTTCAGTCCATGGTCAGCTGACTCCATTGCTCTGAGCCTGAGTTAGGCAGAACATCATGGTGGAAGGTGTGGAGGAAAAGCTGCTCAGTCCATGACAGGAAATGGTGATTGATAAACCCAGTCTGATTCCCTCTTAAAATTGGGAGCCATCTTAATACAAAGACATAAAAGCTAATTTCGGCTTTACTATAAATGACTGCAAATTCTGAACTTGCTTGGAATGCCTGCCTGCCTGTGCCTTGAACTCACCCATGCATGGCTTTCCCTGACCAGATAACAACCTCTCTGAGGCTCTAATGACCTTCATAACTTCTGATGTCAGGCCAGCAAAAATACAAACTAGCCTTTGTGTTATGCTTGTCAGAGTTTTGTTATCTGTAACACCCTCCCCCCTTGTGTAAATTTCTGGGCTATAAAGCTGGGCTGCAAGAAAACTGCAGTGCTATCTTGTTCCCATGGTTTATGTTGGGAGAGGCAGCCCGCCGGTCAAAATAATAAGCTTGCTTTAATTTTATTTTAATTGGAGTCAGTGGTCTTTTTTTTCCCCGTTGAGTTCTAACAATGATCACAAGAAGCCAGGGAAAAATAATATATAATCCCCATCATACACCCTTAGTGATCCACCACCTCCAGCCACATCCCACCTGCCTGCAGTTAACACAAGGAACCCATTCAAATTGTTACTCCATCAAATGGATTAATTCACTGTAAGGTTATACCTCTCATAATCCAATCATTTTTCTTTTTGCATTAACACAGGAACTTTGGGGGGACACCTCATATTTAAACCATAATAAGGAAGAAACAAAACACAAATGATTATGAATCTGCAGTAAGGATATTAGTATTCCTAGGGAAGGCCAGTGTTATAAAAGCAAATAAAAGTTGCCAGGTATGGTGGTGCACCTGTAATCCCAGTAACTAGGGAGGCTGAAGCAGGAAGATTTCAAATTCAAGGCCAGCCTCAGCAATTAGGAAGACCATAAGCAATTTACTGTGACCCTGTCTCAAAAAAAAAAAAAAAAAATTAAAAGGGCTGGGGATGTGGCTCAGTGGTTAAGTGTCCCTGGGGTCAATCCTGGGTACCAAACCGGGAGTAGTGGTTGGGGGGAGTGAATAAAGGAAAGCTGAAACTTGAGCTCGCTGAGATCCAAGGAAGGCATGCGGATGGTGTGAGACCTCTGTCTTCTTCTCAGGATCCTTGGGGTAACTGATGTCTTCCAGACCCTCCTCTGCTCCAAAATTCCTAAAAGCCACTCCTCTAAGGGCTTTGCAGAGAATAAATGTTTAGGGGCTTCTGCCTCAATAAAAGAGAGCAGGTCACCAATCAAAGCAGTGGTTCTCACTCTAATGAGCATCAGAATAACCTGAGGAATTCATCATCAACACAGACCAGCCAGACGCAGAGATCCATGCCTGTAATCCTAGCCACTCTGGAGACTGAGACAGGATACCTCTGTCTGCAGTGCAGTGGCCATGGAAAATGAATGATGGGTTTGAAAGGCTGGACAGATGAAAGAACCAGAGAGTCAAAATATTGAGTTCCCAACACTGAGAGATGGGGAAAAACAAAACAAAACAAACAAAAAAAAAAAACGGGCTTGCTTTAGGTTGCGCCAAGGTTAAGTTCACAGTAAGCATTTCTGAGATGGTCGGCAAAGAGGAACTCAAGGAGAGGGGCTGAAAGTAAGGTAAGGAAAAAGGGCTTGGGAGCCCTTGCCTAGGAGCCGGTTCTCTGGGACAGACTTGAGCCCACAGAGAGTGACAACCGCCCAGGGCACAGGGCTGCAGCTCATCAGCAGCCACATTGGATCTTTGCTTTTCTTAGTGCCCGGGTCCGTGGTCCCTCAAACTCAGCACCCGAAGTTCCCGATAATTTGGGAACAAAAGGTGCCGCGCCATTCTGCTCCCGACTAGCGCCAGGCGTTCAGGCTGCTCATTTGGAAGAAGCTGTTCATCTGTGCAAGGAGTCCTGGCGCTCAGCGGCGGACACAGCGTTTCTCCAACCCCGAAACAGGATGTACCCGCCACCGGAGATACGCCTCCGGATCCCCAATTCGGCCGGAAACCGAGCCTCCCACTTCCGTCTCCAGCCGGAAGTATCTTTCGACTTCAGGCAAATGGGCTTCCGGGAGCGCTGAGCGGATACCGGGGCTCGTCATGGCAGCCTCCTTGACCGGGAAGAAGATCGTGTTTGTCACGGGGAACGCCAAGAAGCTGGAGGAGGTGCCAGGAGGGTGTGGGGAGCAGACCTGGAGGTGGCTGGGAGTAGGGCTGAGATGGGGTTTCCAGGCGAGGGAAGCATGCAGAGGAGGCGTAGAGGGAGAACGAAGAGTTGGCCCCCTGGGAAGCGTGGGTCAGGACCTGACCGTCTGCAAGGCGTTGGGGGGTCAGGATGGGACCGCGGCGGAGTGGGGGTTCCCTGAGAATTGAAGGGATGAACGTTTTGACAGACCTCAGAGCTCGTCAGGTCAGGTGCTTCGGGGTCTGGAGGAGTGGCGAGGCCCTTAGCACAAGTCTCAAAGTTCTCCTCTTTTATCTAGACCCACACTGGAACCCCGAGATCTCACTTGTATCTCTAAGACAAATCTAGATGCTGCTGCTGATTTGGAGGTGCAGGGATCCAGAGAGGGCGTGGATGGGGACTCAAACTGAGCAGGCCATGCCCCACTACAGTCCAGAAGCACTCTTAGCCAGTTTTGGCTTTTGTGAGATGGAG